AGGGGAGATGAGAGTTCAGGTTAAGCCACACATGAACAATCTAATTTGATATCGAATTCATCATTCACGTAATTCAACATAATACAAGTGAAGATAAATACCACCAGACCGTAGTACCAAATGACAAAAGTAGAAGTAAAATGTTAAAAGAATAATTCTCTCTCGCAAGTATTGCACAAAATAAGAAATTAACGATTTAACTAGAATTGATTGGTAGGACTTAAGTGACAAATTACAATAGGATGGGCATCATACACAGAAGCGAGAATGTGGGTAGCAAAAATGCACTTTATATTAATAGGCACTAATTTAATTTACTATGCCCCATGTGTTTTTAACGCTCCACATCTGCTAACAGTACAGTCCAAAATGTTGGTATAGTTTCCTGGGCGCTTCTAAACACGCAATGCTTCCACGTTTTCTCTTCTCCCTCTCTCTTTGCTAATCTCGTTTTCACTTTTTATTGTTGCACGGTGATATGAATCGTTTGTTTTTTAAGTCATTCTTTATGGATTACTCAACTAAAAATTAACCAAATTTAAAATCTATTAGTTATCTAATGATATCTTAGAGATTAACAAATTATATTGTAAAAATAGAAGATTGATATGTGTAGGAGAAGATCTCCAAAATTTCTCGTATTACTTCTAATAAATTAAACATTGTTATCCATTACAGCCTTGATATTTCAACAATGACATTTTGCATACTTAATTTTAGAAAGTAACATAAAAAGTAGATTTAGATCATCGTGCAACGTTACTGAACAGAAACAAAGAAAGCAAGAGAAGGAGAAGGTCCAACTTAGCAAAATAGAATGGCATAAAAGAATATAACCCCTATGCAAAAGGGCAACCCGTTGAGAAAAGTGTGAAGAGTTTGCTTGAGATGAAGGCAACCTCGTCCATATCATCCATGATCGAGACAGAAGAGACAAAAACCTGGTAACCGCCGGATCAGAAGAAAACGAGAACAGGCGTTATCTTTAGTGATAACCACATATGACATAGCTCACTCTTCCATCCCAACCCCTCCACGTGTGCTCCGAAACTTCCGTTGGTACCAGATTAGCCTCCCTTCCACAGTCCATCAGCTCCTCGAATCGAGTACCGCCACCACCTTCTCATCCAAATCCAAACCACCTTTTTTTTCCCCTTACATTTTTCCTCCTTTTTTTTTAAATATATTATTTTGGAGTGTGGATTTGTATATAATATATACAGTAGTAGGTCAGCTGTGGATTGTTTTTGGAGGTTTTTAGTGACAGTGGTTTTGTGGGGAAAAAGGAAGGACGGCGGAGAAAAATGGATCACGCAGCCGATGCGCACCGGACGGACTTGATGACCATAACGAGGTTCGTGCTGAATGAGCAGTCCAAGCACCCTGAGTCCCGCGGTGACTTCACCATCTTGCTCAATCATATTGTTCTTGGCTGCAAGTTTGTCTGCTCTGCAGTCAACAAGGTCTCTCCCTCTCCCCCCCCCCCTCTCTCTCTCTCTCTCTCTCTCTAATTGTATCATTTTTCTCAAAGATTATATTGATTGCCAAATTGGTTGTTGATTTTTATTTAATTTGGTATTGGAAATGAATGTTTCCGAATCATTGGCAAGACATAGTCAATTTGGTTAGAGCAGAGTGGTAGTGTTCTGATCCCAAGTTCGAATCTTGCTATTGTAGTTTGGATTAGATTGGAATATCGCTCGAATATGATAGAAAATATTCCCGTTCTTATCTGTTTTGCGTTGGGGAATTAATTGGTGCTGTGGAAATGGGGTTTTTAATCTGAAAGTTTTTTACTTGGGCAGGCTGGTCTGGCCAAACTTATCGGGCTTGCTGGAGAGACCAATGTTCAGGTATGCGTTTGCTATCTGTTTATGTTGAATATAATCTATTGGGGTTATTCTACAACGTGAAATTGTTCGATTTTTCGGTTATAGGGTGAAGAGCAAAAGAAACTGGATGTTCTTTCAAATCAAGTTTTTGTTAAGGCTCTGGTTAGCAGTGGCAGAACTGTAAGTCATCAAAAATTTCCTTTTTAATGTTTGCATTAGCTGAACTTGAAGGACCGATATTGTGCTAACAATTCGGGTTTTGTGGCAGTCTATTCTTGTTTCAGAGGAAGATGAAGAGGCGATTTTCGTGGAGCCAAAATTGCGTGGAAAGTAATTGTCTATGCTTTATGCCGGTTATTAGAGCTTGTTCCAATGAATGTTTGTTTTTGAGACATTTAACTGAAAGGCTGTCTGTCTGAATAATGCTTTCAACTCGTACTGGAGCAGGTACTGTGTTGTGTTCGATCCACTGGATGGTTCGTCCAACATTGATTGTGGTGTTTCCATTGGAACGGTACAATCGCTCATTCTTATCATATGCAATCCCCTCTATGTAAAGCAATCATTTGTTCCAGAATAACTCAATATTGTGGTGGGAAACATTTGTCTTATCAGATTTTTGGGATTTATGTGGTTAAAGATGGTGAACCTTCTCTTAAAGATGTCTTGCAACCTGGAAAGAAAATGGTTGCAGCAGGCTACTGCATGTATGGAAGCTCTTGCACGGTATATAAAACAACACGTTTCTTGTCGCTTAGATGCATGTATCGGATGCCTTTTGAGTTAGAGCCTTAGTGAATGTAAATCTTTATTCGAAACTTTCTTTGATTTTAGAATCTAGGATTTTCGTTGCCTGCAGTCTAGATTTGCAGGACACTGCTTTTAACTATTTGGGAATGTAATGATTTCGCAGTTCGTGATAAGCACTGGAACTGGAGTTCATGGGTTCACCCTCGATCCTTCTCTCGGGGAGTTCATACTAACTCACCCAGACATCAAGGTATTTCTCTTTTTATACTACTTCAGCAACATAATCTGTACTATATTCTGTAACGGTCTGCTGATTTCACCTCGAGGATTAACTTGGAGAACTCTTATAGTCATTGCACTTAAAGAATCTCGTGCTGAAATACACAGAAGGAATTCAGCCTCTTTTATATCTAAATATTGCTCTGATATTCGTGTGCATTACTTGATAACTTACTACATTCACATCTATTGTCCCAAAAAATTTTGTGTGCGTGTGGCACGCATATATATAGTGAATGTATATATCGTTTTGATGAGAATGTACTAAATGATATACATTATCTTTGTAATTAGTAATTCTTTTTTTTCTTGCTATGGAGTTTCCAACATTCAGTTCATGTCTACTTCTTTCCCCAGATTCCAAAGAAAGGAAAGATCTATTCGGTGAATGAAGGGAATGCCAAAAATTGGGATGGCCCGACGGCCAAGTATGTCAAGCTCAATTAATGATTCTTATTTGAAGTCCATCATTGAAAATTTCTGACCTTTTTGGCTTCAGGTATGTGAAAAAGTGCAAGTACCCGGAAGATGGTTCATCCCCGAAGTCTCTAAGATATATTGGAAGGTATCGTGGATTCTCGTCTTAGAAGTTTAATCTGGTTCTTCTATATGAACCATCTGCCTCTGTTGAATTTGAATGTCGATCTTTATCCCCCAACTGTATTTATCTCAACTCATAGTTTTACCTGCTCCATCTTCATATTTTTCTTTCTCAATCTGGAAGTGGTGGTGAAGTAAAAGATTCTTTCTAGCTCCATAATCCTCTTTCGGTTCTAGTGTTTGACATACGATGCTGTTCTGTTTCTTTCAATAAGCAGTGATATTTATGTTTTATCGTCATGGTTAACAGCATGGTTGCTGATGTTCATCGGACATTGCTCTATGGCGGTATCTTTTTGTACCCTGCTGATAAGAAGAGCCCAAACGGAAAACTGCGGTATGTCAAGAACAATTATAGCTTTCGTTTTCATTTGAAATCTTCGTGGAAGCTTTGTATCAAATTCTGTGGTTTCAGGTTTAAGTTCATGGACTTATGTGACGCATTTGGTTTAACTTGTGTTAACTAGGGTTCTCTACGAAGTCTTCCCAATGTCGTTTTTGTTGGAACAAGCAGGCGGTCAGTCCTTCACTGGCAAGGAACGGGTACGGACTCCTGGACATTTCTTCTTCGTTGATGTGCTGAATGAAATTGGTTGAATGACTTGCTAGTTATCTGGTGTAAAGCCTATCTATGCCAGAAATTATAGAACTCTAATCCGCACTCTGTCATGAAGCCTTTTGCCAACAGAGTATACTTTATGCAATATAGTCATTTTCTCATAACTTCAAAAAACTTTGACGAAACTCCATTTATCATGAAACCGAATTGGAAATCACATGGAAGGATAACATTCTCGAGTTGGACAATCTATAACGCTAAGTTTGTCAGTTGAGTACGTTATGTTGTTAGACTGTTAATCTAGATCACATCTACAAATAACGATTCACCTTGTTAGTTGTTAAGATTGAAGTTGACATAAGTCAAAGGACATTGGACACTGCCTGCAAGCATAAAACAGGATTAGTTTCTTTTCTTTTGTGAGTTGATTTTGCATTGATTGTTAATTGATTTTAACATGCATCTTGGCAGGCCCTTGACTTGGTTCCGACCAAGATACACGAGCGCTCTCCGATCTTCCTCGGCAGCTACGACGACGTTGAGGAAATCAAGGCACTCTATGCAGCTGAAGGAAAGCAATGAAACCTATAATTCTTGTTCTCTCATCGTAAATTACATAAGTATTCATCTACTTGAACTACTCTATTAGATGAAATCTGAAAAGAGAGCATACAATAATCTGTTGACGCTTACAACTCAAACAAGGTTGTCGTCTTAAATTCTGGAAAACTGCTCTATTTTCTTTCCTCATTTTCTCAGCTTCCAAACAACCATACTCGATTAAAGAAACTCATTAAGGGGAAAAGAAAAGAAGGGCGGAAGCCAGCCCCGTTGTAGCATCGATGCCTCCAAGGCTTCGAGCTGCCAAGGGGAGACGAGAGAATGGTGGCGAAGTGTTTTCTTCGATCGTCACTATGTTGTCCAACATAAAATCGGATAACAAAACATTGAAGGAAAAAAAAAAAACACATTCTTCAATCTCAAGAAAACATTTCATGAAGAAATACTTAGATAGCCATAGATACAAGAGTTCCAACTTCCATCCATGAAGATTACAGTTGAATTGTATCCATCAATTCCTAGGCACCTCAAACAGAGATTCATATGAAAACTGCTCTTTTGGTTTCATCGAATAAAGTTAAAAATCTGATCCTAGGTAGCTGGGGATACAAGAAATCTCATTCATTCAGAAATCTAAAAGCAGAATAACATATAGAGGGAGATTTGTTAAATCAACAGATAATTTCCCAATACCAGTAACTAAATCAAGCTGTCCTTAGAGGAGGTGACACAAGGATGACACCGTCTCCTCTGACAAAGAGAAAAGGAACCATCCGCTTTGTAGTCTGCAATGGAAAAAGTAAAAAATGGTGGTAAACCAAAAATGTAATACACGACCAGAGGTAGTAACGACAGCCAAACGTACAAGACTAAACAAATAAGGATCCATATTAAAACCAAATGTAGCGAAACATATGTGAAGAAAATCCAGACAATTATTTATCATCCTTTTTGCCTTCTTCTTTGTTAATTATGTTTTACGGGTTAGATTGTTACCATGTTTACTTAACCTCTATTAACTTCAGTTTAGTCATCTTTTAACGATGAGATAAATAAATGACAGAAAAACACTCAACACATTCAGATCTAACGGAGCCTTCCCATAGGCTGTAAAGATTATTGCCTCTGGGCCTATCTGAGGATACGGTCACTACAGCAGATCTATTCCAAAGTTACAGATCATTTTGTTATTTATGCAATTAGTCCTCTAGAAAAATAATACTCCAAGTTAAATTGAATTACAAATTTTTTTGTTATACATAGACATAGTGATAAAGACAACAGAATTTGAGCTACATACCCGAACAATCTCTTCATAAGTTTCATCATCAATTTCTACAGAAGTAACAATTTCTTCAACATCACCAAGAATCATATTTAAGTGTTGATCATAAGCCTGCAAAAGCCAGATTTTAAACAAAAATATCAGAATCGGACAGGAAGCTTTATAACCACAAATATTATGATAGCAAGTACCACCTAACATAATCACTTGACATGATGTAATATACAAGAAACTCCCTCATCCACCCACCATTTTACCCCTCCATCCCTTGTGTCATTGCATCAAGTTCAAACGACTCGTTCTCACACAACAAATTTCTGTACCAAACAATGAACTCATTTTTGTTCCCGTTTCTTTAGTATACACTCATCATTTGATAGAAGAATACTGTTCGTTTACACGTTTTTCACTACAAATTTCTTATAAAGACACAATTTTCCTAGCTCGGCAAACCAGAGAAAACAGTCAAGTATAATTTCGCGATAAGAGCAAACTAAATCATCACTTCACAAGTTATAAACTGCAAAAGTAACCACCAACACCATTGTCATTTCCATAATCATCGTAGTGTCAAAACAACATCTGAAGAGAAATATAAAAGCAAAAAACTTACAATTTAAAATAAAATGAAAGACTGGAGTTCCTATCACAGATGCAAAATAAGACAATTATAGAGTATACATCACAATTTTGTTATTGGTGTTTGAGACTAGAAGATGAAAATCAAACCTTGACGCATATCCACTCACCACTTAACATTAAAGTAGTAAACTTTAAACCCTAATTTTATTTTCCCATTATTTTTAGTTTTGCCCCATCCAAAACCCTAATTAGAAAAACCCAGAGTGCAGAGAAAACCTAATTTATAGCAGAGCGAGAGACATGATAGATAGGGTGTGGAATCGTACATGAGTTTACCGCGGAGCTCACGGTCGGAGCGAAGCTTGACGTAGATGCGCTCGTCGAGGCTGAGCCTTATCAGATCCAACGGCTCCTTCACGGCGCTCTCTTCCTCGCTCGCCATTTTTGTATTTTGCTGTTTCTTCGAATCGAATGGGTTTATGTTATAATGTGGGGTGTAATTTGTAATTGGATTATTTTTAGCTACGTTTCTGCAATTTGACTTTTATCTCATTTTGTTGTAATTAAAAAATCGTTACTTTATATTAATCAATGTAAAAATGTGTAAGTCAGGTGATATAAATCAATGACTTTTATCTCATCATCTTACCAATAAATATATAAGTCAGGTGATATAAATCAATGTAAAAATGATATGTCATCCGGAGTCACCTAACGTGACATGTACGGCTGAACCTATTGCTCATCAATACAGTTGGAGTCACCTCATGTGACCTGTACGGTACTAAACCTACACACGAGTCGGAACCACCTAATGTGATCTGTACGACGGGCTGGGTGTAAATAAGTACGCTCAAGTGCTACGATCACATGAAGTCTGTGCGACGAATCACAGGTCACCTATGAGTCTGAACCACCTAATGTGGTCTGTACGACAAGCTGGCACCTGACTTCGATCCAAGCTAAGTATGCGGTGCGGGAGGTGAACAATCACGTGAAGGCTAGGCCCTTGCCACGGGCGAAGCACTAACACCGGGGTGCAGAACACTGAGCTCTACGTGCATCAACTCATAACTACCATGCAACCATACTGTCAATAAATACTCACCTGAACTTACCTGGGCCTCCGCAGCATCATGCAATATTATGCAAAGCTATACTAATGCATATGCTAAAATGTAAAGCGAACATGACATGACATTTTAAACGAAATTCCATTTAAAAATAGTTTATGGGAAACGCATATATATAAACCAAAAGCTCACTCACACTTTCTGTTTTGCGCCCCACCAAGTTCTAGGTAGAAGTTCGTGTTGGCTTACGAGGATTCTACGGCGGTTCTGACAGATTTTAAATAATGTAGGGATTTCTTTTATGTCTTGTATAATTAATACTTAGCCTGCTGGACTGCACTTAGGTTACCTATACTCTGAGCAATTGCATTACTATTTTAAACACATTCACTCGTACTTATATACTTACTTAGTGTAAGGTAGCTAGTTTGGTTTTTATTTACTCACATATTCTTATCACTATCACTTCCGCACTATACACATGGCTACGTCACCCTCACGTGACGGCCAGCATGCCTCGATTTAGGTCGGGGTGTGTCAATTTGGTATCAAAGCCAATCCCTGGCCGAAAGTGTGCCGACGAGGACGTCGGCTCCTAAGGGGGGTGGATTCTAAGATCCCACATCGCCCAAGGGTGAGGATCATGTAAGCCTTATATGTATATTCCTATCTCTACCTAGCTTGATGCCTTTTGGGAACTCACTGGCTTGGGGTTCCATAGGAACTCCGAAATTAAGCAAGTTCGTTCAAGAGCAATCCTAGGATGGGTGACCCCTTGGGAAGTTCTCGTGTGAGTTTCCAAAACAAAATTGTGAAGGCTTGGTCGGGGCCGAAATGAACAATATCGTGCTACGGTGGAGTCGAGCTCGGGATGTGGTGGGGGCCCAGGCCGGGATGTGACATATAATCTCTACAAATCAATTAAACTCCATAAAAATTCATGGATTTATAAATCCATTAAAGTCTCTCAAATTCTCAATTGAATACACCCCCTTAAATTCATTCACCAAACTTGTGGCCTTGTCACCCCCTTAAATTCATTCATCAAACTTGTGGCTTTGTTGTTTTTTAATATATATATATATATATATATATATATATATATTTTGTAATTCTTGAGCGTGACAATTAGGGTTAGTTCGAGATTGTGGTGCTTTAAAAAAAAAAAACTAATGAAAAGAGTTTCAAAATTTGCATTTTAATAAAAAAAACCACCCTATAATTTTATTTAATGATAAAGACAAAATAATAATAATAAATAAATAAATAAATAACCTCACAAAAGCGCGTGCATTGCAAATTTTGTAAACTTACCATATATATTGCAGCAGCCCCTCCTATTTTCTTTAGTAGCTTCAAATCCTAGCCTCATAGCCTCATGTGCCTCCTTCCTCTTTCTTTATTTCATGTTTAGGAGCTTTAATGATGATAGTTAGTACTTTCAATGCTCCACTCATGTTCCCACACTAGCCATTTTCAACGAAAATGTAATAAACTATCTCCCAAAATAATCTTAACTGATGATTTCCTATTTGAACTTTTTGTGAGAATGGAATAGGCTTTCATCTTTCCTAAAATTAGAGAAATACCTGCTCTCTTCAGACTTAAATGAGTAATTGCTTTGGATAACACTTCCTGAAGATATTCGACCATCATAATACTTTTGACGACATTCTCGTGTATAGAATAATTATTTGGGTTTGCTATTCATGAGATTTTGAGGGAGTTGAACCAAAATTTTATATATAATCTCTACAAATCAATTAAACTCCATAAAAATTCATGGATTTATAAATCCATTAAAGTCTCTCAAATTCTCAATTGACTATACCCCTTAAATTCATTCATCAAACTTGCGGCTTTGTTGTTTTTTAATATATATGTCTTTTGTAATCCTTGAGCATGACAATTAGGTTTAGTTCGAGATTGTGGTGCTTTAAAAAAAATGAAAACTAATGAAAATGACTTCAAAAGTTTGCATTTTAATAAAAAAAGCTACCCTATAATTTTATTTAATGATAAGGACAAATAATAATAATAATAATAATAATAATAAACAAAAAATAACCTTACAAAGGCGCGTGCATTGCAAATTTTGTAAACTTACCATATATATTGCAGCAGCCCTTCCTGTTTTCTTTAGTAGCTTCAAATCCTAACCTCATAGCCTCATGTGCCTCCGTCCTCTTTCTTTATTTCATGTTTAGGAGTTTTAATGATGATAGTTAGTACTTTCAATGCTCTACTCATGTTCCCACTCTCGCCATTTTCAACGAAAATGTAATAAACTATCTCTCAAAATAATCTTAACTGATGATTTCCTATTTGAACTTTTTGTGAGAATGGAATAGGCTCTCTTCTTTCCTAAAATTAGAGAAAGACCTGCTCTCTTTAGACTTAAATGATTAATTGCTTTGGATGACACTTCCTGAAGATATTCGACCATCATAATAATTTTGATGACATTCTCGTGTATAGAATAATTATTTTGGTTTGCTATTCATTGTTAGAATGTTCAAGACTCATCCACTAATCAGTATAACAACTAATCAGAAAACAAAACTAATCATTTGTATCTAGTTAATGTTGATGACATGCCTTTTCCAGGTTTATTTTTCAAACCATTGGCCACTAATTTCTTGGCCCCCAAAACCATAGGTGCTGGTGTGCATTTTCCAGTTGAGTTTTTTCTATTGTCCATTGTTTTTGTATGCCATGGTTAATGAAATAGTGATAATAGTAGTGTTCAATTTAAGAAATAGTTAGTGTTTATTTTTGTTTAGTTTAAGAAATAGTCAATGTTTAGTTTACAAAATAGTGATAGTATTAGTGTTCAGTTTAAGAAATAGCAAGTTTTCAATTTAAGAAATAGTGATAATACTAGTGTTTGGTTTAAAAAATAATTAGTGTTTTGTTTATGAAATAGTGATAGTATAAGTGTTCGGTTTAAGAAATAGTTAGTGTTTAATATACGAAATAGTGATAGCACTAGTTTACGAATTAGTGATAGTAATAGTGTTTGGTTTAAGAAATAGTTAATGTTTAGTTTACGAAATAGTGATAGTATTAGTGTTCAATTTAAGAAATAGTCAGTATTCAGTTTACAAAATAGTCAGTGTTCAGTTAAGAAATAGTGATAGTATTAGTGTTCGGTTTAAGAGTTAGTCATTATTTGGTTTGAGAAATAGTTAGTGTTAAGTTCTAAATATAATCAACGTTCAATTATAGAAATAATCAATGTTCAATTGTAAAAATAACTAGTGTTAACATGACACAACACAAACATAAAAAAATTGTCCAAACTAAAGATAAAATCACTATTTCGAAATTAAAATAAGCATTGTTTATCAAACTGAAAAATGAAAAATTTTCTTTATTTTTTGTTTTGTAATATTATTACTTAGTTTGTTCCAAAAAAATTATGAAACAATGGTCAAATAAACATACAATAAAATAAAAAGTAAAAATTGTAATATTTATGGAGTGAGAGTAGAGTGATATGAGAGATGAGAGAAAATAAAAAAGATTGATGTGAATGGGTGAGGTGAAAGGAGAGAGAAATTTGATGGGAATATGTGAGAGAGAGAGAAAGGGAGAGACAGAGAGAAGGAAAATATGTGTGACTAAGTGATGTGATGCGCGCATGAGATTTTGTTTTTTGTTTTTTTAATTATTATGTTAAACTTTTGTCCTTTTTATTAAAACTTAAGTCATTTTTATTAAAATTTAAGCAATTTTTATTAAATAAAGTTAGTAGATGATTTTTTGTTAATAAAAAGTTTAGAGAAGCTTTTTTCATTAAAACTCCCTTAAAAAAAAACTTATTAAAAAATCTAGAACATTAAATCTGTTTGGTAAAACAAAAAAAAAACAAAAAAACAAAAAAAACAAAAAAATTGTTGTCAATGAAAGTAGATGAGTATAGAAAAGCAGAAAAAGGATCTACCATGCTTCTAAAAAAAGTGTTTTTTTTTTCAAAGCATAGTAATCAATATTCATTTAATGGAATTTTCAAATAGCAAATATACTCCCACATGTTTTACAAAATTACACTCTTTACCCCTGCATTATTGTCTTTGACAATAATTATATCACATTAAATATTATCTCATATTTAGACATTTAACATATTCAAAGTAATTTAGATAAAAGTTTATCAAACATTCAAACATTTTTTTTTATTATTATAAATTTTTATCAAAAACATTTTTACATAAAAAAAAGTTTACCAAAAATTCAACAACTTTATTTTACAGTTGTTTATTCTTATAACACAGCATAAACGGTTTTTTTTTTTTAAAGCACAGTAATACTAAACTAACCTTAAGGTATTCCTCTACATCATAATCGATATCACTTTATCCACTAAAGTTATCAAGGTCCTGAAAATGACAACACGTTCAGGATATCTCTTTATGAAGCTATTAAGAGTCATTGTAACAATGACGTTCTTCACTCACTTATCCATTAGAATTGCCCTTCTTTTCTTTTATATCCCAAATTAGACTTGTAGACAAGTTGGTTTTTAAGTTTGAGTCAGTTTTAATCCAACTTATTAGATCAACAAATCATTCAAACTCAACTCGTTAAACTTATGGGTCATCAAAGTATACTACAAGGTTGAAACAGTACCTACACTAAATACGTTGCCTTTTTATATTATTTAATCGTTCAATAATTGATGCAGGATGACTCAATCTTTATTTAATGTAATAAATATATGTTAGTGGGGTAGATTAAGTGGGGTTAATCTTAATGAGTTCATTAACTCTAGTAATGATGCATGTATTAGTAATTATTAAGAGGGGGTTAGAGTTTTTGTAAATTAAGAGTATTTTGTATTCTAAGGGGAAAGATTATGATGAATTCAATTGAAAATTGAGTGTAGTTTGAGAGCGTTTTCTCATTTTTGTTCTTGTTTTATCAACTCGGATGTTCCAACAGAATTAACGAGGTATAGACACCCCAACGATCATTGGTCATTCTCGTACGGAGAATCAACAACGCTCGTTTGATAAACTTCTTGGCATTCTTGGTGAATCAACAAGAGGTTTAGGACTTGTGAAATTCGGTATTGTTTTTGACAATCAACGAATCTGCCAGGAAAAGTTACGCATTTCATGTGTTTTTGTTTTAACATCCGTTCTCCATTTGAGGATCAATATCCAGATTTATTAATCAATTGATTCGTGTTTTGATCGATGCATCAATAATGGTCCCCGAATGATCCCTCATACATTGAACCTGCCGAAGAACTTCGTTGTCGTCTTCCCAATACAAATACAACAAGGAACTCAATACAAGAGAAAATTATTCAAATAAGTGAGGTTAAAATAATTATTTATTTTTTTAACCATCTATAACAAAAAAATTTCTGTCATTAAAAATTAATAAAAAAAATGATTTAATCTTCTATCACGTTAAAAAAATTATAAACAGTAATGTAATTTTACAAAATCAAATTTTGTTGTTTTTTTATTTATCTAACACTAAAAAAAAATCTCTCTTTCCACTGGCACTCTCATGTTCTCTTTCCCTTTCTCCTTCCCATTTTAAAAGCAAAATTAAGAATGTTCACGCCGCAAAGTGGGTAGTCATATGCTGCTTGTTTTTTTGTTATGAAATGAGGTTAAAATAATTAATTTTAAAACCTTACCAAGAAATAAAAATTATATATCTGTCTATTTTGACAAATTAGAACGGTACAAAGAAGATTAGTATTACAACTGGTAAAAGTGACACGCATGGATCAAGAAATGATCTAATTTTATTTATAAAAAAAAAAAAAGACAAATTGCAAAAGAAAAAACAAAAAACAATTGGCATATGTACTGGTGGGACTATTATTATATGGGGTATAAGCTGTAACATTACACAGGGCCAATCCCTTTTATTTATTTATGTCCGTGTGAGCCAGATAGTAGGTGTTTCTCCTGTGTATTCTTCTGCCCAGGAATCTCGGCCCGTTTACTGGGAGCTTCTCAGATTTGTGGGGGCATCTCTCTGCAGATAAGTTGCTTTGCTTCTGTGTTCTTGATCTTTGAAGAACGATTAACTGGAATTTGTTGCCTTGTTCTTCTCCTGAATTGCGTAGTTTTGTTGGTGGGTTTTGCACAAATTTTTTATTCAGTTTGTAAAAATTTGTGCTTGGTGTTGAGTTTTAGGCAATGGGTTTCTGTTTGGTTATGGTGTTTATGGGAATTGGACTTGCATATACTTTGATGGTGTAAGACTGTCAGTAGGTTCAGGAAGCTGAATTGAGGGTTGAAAAAGCTCGAAAATCGATAAGAAAGATGATTGATTTTTACCTATGAGTGCATGAGGCATGTGAAATTAGATGTAGAATGTGGTTTTAGGATAAAAATTTGTTGATCTGATTGTTGTTAATAGTAAGGATTAAGGAATGGAAGAGCATTTATCACAAGGAGGAGGAGGAGGTATGGTTCCGGGCGGGGCCTCGTATGGGGGGCTTGATTTGCAGGGGTCAATGAGGGGCCATCAGCAACCCCAACATCCACATACCATACACCATCACCATCCTCAACCTCGTCAAGGGTCGTTGGTCCACCCCCCGATTCCTGAAGGGTTTCCTCTCAAAATGGGAACCATGCATCACTGCGATCAAACCATTTCCATGTTGGATTACAATAAGGGAGAGAGGTGCAAGAACTCGGCAAGTGATGAGGATGAGCCGAGTTATGTGGAAGAGGGAGATGGTCACGCTGAAGCTAGTAGAGGGAAGAAGGGGTCGCCGTGGCAGCGTGTGAAGTGGACAGATCAAATGGTGAAGCTTCTGATCACCGCTGTGTCTTATATAGGTGAGGATACAAGTTCAGATTGTGGCGGTGGGGGAAGACGGAAATATTCTGTCCTACAGAAGAAGGGAAAGTGGAAATCTGTTTCCAAGGTCATGGCAGAAAGAAGTTATCGTGTTTCTCCACAGCAGTGTGAGGATAAATTCAACGACCTTAACAAAAGGTATAAGAAACTTAATGATATGCTTGGGAGGGGCACTTCTTGCCAGGTTGTTGAGAACCCTGCGCTTTTGGATGTGATAGAGTACCTAACGGAGAAAGAAAAAGATGATGTCAGGAAAATATTAAGCTCAAAGCACCTGTTTTATGAGGAGATGTGTTCTTATCATAATGGAAATCGTTTGCATCTGCCTCATGATCCAGCCTTGCAGAAATCTTTACATCGGGCTCTTAGAAGAGATGATCTTGACAACGATGATCTGAGAAGGCACCACCATGATGATCTTGATGAAGATGATCAAGATATGGAAAATGAAGAGCATGACGACTTTGAGGAAAATAATGCTTTACGTGGAGATAACAGGGGAATATACATTTCAGAGGACTCTGTCAAGAGGTTGAGACAAGGCCAGGGCCGTGAAGATTTTAACTTCGGTAGTTCTTCGAACTCCCAAGACTGTAACAAAAGTTCTTATTTTCATCCCCAAATTCCTCAACCAGATATGAATCAAGTTTTACCTGATGGCACAAAAGCTGCTTGGTTACAGAAGCAGTGGGTTGAATCGCGTTCATTTCAGTTAGAAGAACAGAAGCTACAAATTCAAGTTGAGATGTTAGAATTGGAGAAGCAACGTTTGAAGTGGCAAAGATTTAGTAAGAAAAGGGACCGTGAACTGGAAAAGATGAGAATGGAAAATGAGAGGATGAAACTTGAGAATGAGCGTATGGCATTAGAATTGAAACAGAAGGAAATGGGTGCCGGTTTTAGTTAAGTGGCTCTTCTAGTCAGTATTTATTGCAATAGTGGGACTTCCTGGCAATGTTGCTTCTCTCGAATTCTGTAAGCTGCAGTGGGTTCAAGTATCACATTTGTGGGGGAGCTTTATTGGGATCATGACTCTACCGGGACGTGCCCTTTGAAACTTATGATTTTGACAATATCAATGTCTAGTTTTCATTATTCTGCATATGGTAAAATGATAATTTCCTATGTTTGAAACTTTTCAAGGAAATTTGTATGATCAAGATCTTAATAGCTTACTGTATGCTGGTACTTTGCGTAATTTCATCAGTTTTTGATCTTGTACTTTGGTTTTCTCAATAGCTTACTGTATGACAATGAATCTGAATAGCTTACTGTATGCTGGTGCTTTGGTTTTCTCAGGTGACCATTGGCATTCATTTTCTTTTCTTGTACTTTGATCTTCCATGTTTTACTGGCAGCTTTTCAGTATTGTGATTCATTGTCATAGTCGTTCTTGTTATTTTTATTGTTATTGTCTTCTCAAAACAAGTTGTACTAGCGATTTACATGATTTTCAGTCTCTGTCCCAACGTCCCAAGTAATATTTGTATTTTTTGAGTAACTAAAAGGAGTGGATTGGTGATTAGGAGCTGGTTCTGCAGTCCACTCGGTAAACCCTCCATAAATATGTATGCATGTCATGATCGGTGCTAGAAATACCTAGTATCGCGAGCTTTTTTTTCTTCACGTCATTTGACTACACACTTATAGCCACTCTAGTGCACACCTGATTATGAATTTCTAGCTTATTAGCTGTTGTATATTTCATGTCCTTAAGTTCTAGTTTCGGATGCTATTGCTAATATAGAACTATGTTAGATATTCTGAATCTCGGACGGGAAAGCTTCACTTGGACATTATAATTTGTATAGGTCTCTTTCATTCTTTAGGTGGAGTCTACACTACATGTTTTAAGTGGTTTGTCCACTCCCTCTCCATACCATTTTATCAGCTTGCAGAACATTCCTACAGTTAGTTTTCTTCCTACTAATTTAATTTGGCCAGGATATTTTTTTTTTTGCTTCAGCATCTCAGTTTTTTCCGTCATTTAATTTAAGAATTTTGTAACTTTGACGAGAGTTTTGAGTTAAGGTATTAATGAGCCAGTTTACTTTACCATCATAGTGAATGCAATAAAATTCCTAAACTCCAAGGGATATATATAGTTTCTCTATGTAGGAATTAGATATACCAGAATGCTTCATATAAATGGTGTATTTTTTGCAGGCTCTGGCCTAGCAAAAGTAATCTTGTTTTTCTTCTGTAGAAATTGAAACTTTCCTATATCACATTAGCGATCCAAGAGCTGTTATGTTCTCAAATGATCTTATTGTAATGTTGTCTAAATCGTATTCGATATTTCATCTTCAAGTTTAAGAGTTTATTTTTAGGACCAGTTTATTTTTTAGACTGATATCACATATACTTATACAATAATAATCACAAGCAATTTGCAGGTATAAACTACTGTATTCTGATACCAGTATCAGGCAGTGTATAAACAATTTGGCTAGAATGTAATCTTTGGTCTCCGTAAGTACCTTTAGAAAATTATTACTAGAGGCTAAAGCATTTCGTATCAATAGTATACTGTTACTTCTGTTTTTTTCTTGATCTTTCTGTATTGGTCATTGTGTTAACATGGAGATACGCAAGACAATCTGCTGAACTAAGAACTGGAACTGTGCTGATTTCAGAGCAGGCTGTAGCTGTGCTTTTTACCCCATATTGTGAGGAAGAATCTCATTCCCGTCAAGATCTCCCAGGATCGCACCTTCTGACTTTGTGGATCTTTTGGCTAGGCAGTGGTCGGGGCATGATTGGACTTGATGAGAAATGTAGAGCTTCCTCACACCGTGGTAGTTTAGTCAAAATGCTTTGAACTGTGAAGGAAGAAATATTGCCATTGCAGTTGCAGTTGCAATGGCAGTATTTCTTCCTGGAACTGTAATTGCCATTGCAGTTGCCTCCATAGCCATTAACAGATAAGTGATATCTGTATCTGGCTGAAAAGAAATATTGGAGCTGGTTGGTATATGATCTTACGGAAATTTTAATCGAAGAAGAGACGCCAATTTTCCAAGAAGGATTATACTGTTCTTAAATGATTGAATTTCAAGGGTTACTTGATTGGTGGCTTTAGATATTCTTTAATTCGAAAGCAAGAATTCAATTGTCAGTGAGTGCTAAATGTTTTTCACACCAGTGTAGGCTCATCGACCAACCTGACCTATACTTTTATCTTGCTCCTTAGCTCTCTTACTTGATATGTCTCTCTTGTTTGGTAGAGAGTGCTAGAATCAATGACCGTATGTAACTACTGTGTCATATTTTGACGATTGAAAGCTCAAGGGAGAAAGTTTACTGGGTCCCTAGGGTTATACTCAGTTCATGAAGCTACAGGGAATAGTGCGAAAGCAAGAACGTCTAACTTCTAAGTGCTTTCTATTATGAACAAGAGGAAACGAATCTTTGTAGGATTACAGCGGTTGATCGACATAAAGTATTGGTTTTCAGTTTGTATATGGGTTGAGTTTCAAGCTAGACTTCTGTTGTGTAGTACTGAATACGTTGCTTTCAAGGCGGAATCTAGTTATGTTTTTGTAACTGCAATGGATGCTGGATGGATTGCTGCTGAGTGTGTGTGAAATGTGCTTAGACTACAAAACATCTGAACTGAACATCAATGAGTGTTAGTCTTCACAACTACTTCTGTTGACGGTGTTGGTGCAACAACTATTCCGCCTTATCAATCTGCCTGTCGCTGTAATAAAGAGGTATCCGCAGCTCAATCGGTGTTAATTCATTTAGAATTTATATGCTGAGATATTAGCTTGTAAATGCAGTTCTTGGTACGTCCCGAATATTTATTCGCAGACATTGTTGTTGCAAATGAGAGGAGATTAGGTTCTGTATACCATCCAATTTTACTTTCTTACTGTGACTGTCATTAACTGGGACCTGCTTGGTATTCTTGCTCTCTCTCAGAAGTTGAAGTTTTATTTTTCTTACAGATATGAAATTTTAATTTACTGTAATTTACCCCAGGTAACTGAAACTATATCTTTGTGGTAAAAATGCAGTAGTGAAAGCTGAAACAAAGCTTGTGTATCGACACCCTAATATATGGTACAATGCCCTCTATGTTGGCAAATTTATGGTAGAGGAGGATTTGACTTTCACCCCTCCCATTTTTGTAGCTTCATTAAGTTTGTTGTTTATTAAATTACTGTATAGAAATCATTGATTTTCAGGAGGGAAGGGTCCACAATCCCTTGTAGTAGATTTTTTTTTTTTTTTTTTTTTTTAGAGGAGACAGTGGTTTTGCCTTAGTTGTTTACCTTTTAGTGGGCCAGAAAGATTCAAATAAGCATTTCAACCTCTTCCTGAACACCAGTGATATACCAACTTCAAGAGTCGAATCAGGATGTATAATTTTTTTTGCCCCCCACCCCTTTGTGTATTCTTCTTCAAATAGGTGGATTTTCAATTTATGGATGATGCATATTTAGAAATATATAAAATTCTCTATCTAGTTCAATGCTTTGGTTGGTTTGAAAATAACCAGATAACAGGGTCAACGCAATTCTAATTTATATATTCAATGGATTAATTTCATTTTTTTTTTCTTTGACAAGGTAACACTGACATAACTCATACAGAATATTTTTGCTCACCCCCGAAGTGCCAAAAGTAAGGATAATGCTCATTACTCATTTGGTTGTCGTTATATTGGTTTAAATTTTGAGATTTATGTCTTAGATTGATTAAACCAAACTATTCTAACGGGAATTAATGAGGCGGTGAATATCACCCTCACTTCAGAGGGGTGAGAAAAATGCACTCTAACTTGTACCTTTAGATGATTTATAATATTGAATCTCTCATATGGTTGTTGTCATGCGAATATAATTAGTGTTCTCATTCTACTCCCTTATGTGCTAAATTTAAGACCTCTTTACTCTTTAGGTTGTTGCTGTTGGATAATTAAGAGTATGATGGGAATGGGAAAAAAGACATTTCCCTAAAAAGCTTTGGCTACAAATTCGGTGCTTTTGCTGTTGCCAAGTTAGATTCATGTCATCATTTGAACCCAAAGGAAGATACGGCCTATGACTGCATAGGACATAGCAAATGCAAATAAAAGTCATGGAAAGTGATGCATCAGAGGAAGAAGAGCAACCCAAGATGTAGTGGATTCAAGAGGGATACCCTAATCATTACAGCAATTTAACACTTGTAGTTCATAAAATATTTTTTATGAGCAGTTGGAGAAAAATTAGCTAAAAGGATTGTTGGAACTCTCGGATGCATACAACCAAGATACCTGAGTTTTTCTACTAGCAATTCACAACTACACTTTTGAGTACCTTTTTCGCTGTGAGAACGGTGCTACCAATAAACTTATGTGCTACCAATAAACTCATATTGTAACTGAAAATTTTATGAAATATCAACTATGTCGTCTACGCATATTGTATAATCGGGATGTTTATGCTTTTGTTGGTCATGGGCTAGGGTTAGAAATATCGACTACGTTTTTGTTGGTCACAGCGTATCGGGAAAGGCTTATCCTGTTATCCAATTGGGTCAAAACTCTACATCAAAGAAGTGGACGTGAGTAACGAAGGGGAAAAAAGCAAAGAAGTGGACGTGAGAACGTAAGTGGACGTGAGAACGTGATTTTTACCTTGGTACTCTCCCTTTCTTTCCCACTGTTAACTTGTTCTTTGTGGCCAAATGGGGCCCTTCCACTCTTCCTTGCCCAAAATGGGCTTTTTGGGTGCTTTACTTTGGGCACATGGGGGCCATCCTCAATGAACCCCTCTATTGGAGTAGGGTAATACAACCAATTCTATATTATGCTACTTCAGATTAATTACTTGAGTTACAAGTTTTTTACTCACTCAAAATATAACTATTTGATTAGGACCTTTCATTGCTAGAATAAATGTTTTTAACCATTTGAGTTACAAGCTTGCTAGAAATACTTGATCTGTTAGAATCGTTTAACATGGATGTTAATTGCATGCACATGCTTTCATGTTCCAATGATATAAATGTTTTGCACCATTTGGGTTTGTTTTGGCTAATTACTTGAGCTACAAGCCTTTCGCTTGCCCAAAACATGAAATATTTGAAGTCGTTTGATTAAGATCTTCAATGGCTAGGATGAATGCTTTTAACCATTTTGAGCTGCGAGTTACTTTCTAAAAACATAAATTTCTTGGAATCCTTTCATAAGGAATTAGTTATTTGCATGCACATGACTTCATGTTCCA